GTTCGGTTTTGACAATAAAAAGGAGTGGACTACAACTTCATGCTGGACTTAATGCCAAAACAACAAACAAAAGGAGCCTATCGGAAGGATTTACCAAACTTACCTAGTCAAAATAAAAAAATCAATGACATCAACTAACCTCTCTAACTAAGATAAACAGGAGAAAACTATAGTCAAAGTAAAGAGGCAGTCCACCCCTACAAACTCCTTTATATAACAAGCAGCACTAGGGATGTTTACAAAACATGCTGGTTGGCATGAGCTGAGGATGGATGAATGGCAGTCCATGGCGGCGTCATCATATATTATAGGTGATCTCCAGCTAGCTAACCTATCTGTATCGTCTATCTTCTGGATCCACCAGTCACGGAGAGGCATCTGCACACTCATATTTATATACTAGCCAATAACTAGGGCTGGGTTTCGATTTCAATTTCTATAACCAATTCGATTCTGATTCACAACGTCCCGATTCGATTTCATCACCAATTGATTCGCTGCAATTCAATTTTGACTCAGACAGTAAGAAATATTATAATTCTGATCAATTAGCAGTACATAATTTTGTATCTATGTATAAAAAAAGTTGACACGTGTGAGACTTCATCAGAGGTGTAAGCATCATAACGGATGCCTTTGTGTCAAAATAACTTATGATAAAACACAGAAAAACATGAAGGAGATTTTCCTGGCCTGGCTTTTTATAGCAGATATCCACCTAAAAAATATTCTGCAGCAGATCAACAACGAAAGAAAACCATGAATCAACATCTGAACATTACCTGATGCTGCTGAAGTGAAGCAGAGTAATGTTACAGATGTTTTATTAGAGACACAGCTAAGCGTTCTGATATTTGGCAGGATTTGTAAAAGTTTACATTTCCCCAGTATTGAACAGCAGAAATTAGGCTTTCCTGTCAGAGGTCATTTTTGAAAAAAACAACATAAAAAACAGCGGACGACAATGGTAGACTGGTGCATAATAAGCAAGCGAATAACCCAGAAAACAGATTTGTGATGGGAAACTATTCTTGAAGTCCACTGAGAGGGAGAAAGAGCTGTGCAGGAAGTGTAATTTTACCTTGGGGGAAGGAAAACAGCAAAAGTAAGAGTTAATTCATGACGATGTTTTTCAAACATGAAGCGTATGTTTGATCTTATTTTGCTCCTGGTTCAGGGAATATTGGTTGGAGATTGATGAAACCTGCAGTTTCAGAATCTGTCAAATGTCTTTCAGCACCCGACAGCATGTCCATGTACGTGCCCCCGGGTGAACGATTCATGCTCTGTGTTTACATCTTTCTGCGGATTCTGTTTACCTGGTTTTTAATCATTTGGTGTTCTACCTCTTTGGTGGTTGTTGAAATAGTTTTGTGAGCTTTAACCTGAGGTTCTGGAGTTTCTGGCAAAAGACATTTATAATCAATACATGATTTTGTCACGGCCAGGCGGATCAGCTGCACGCTTATCAGCACTTTCTGTTTCTCTCTCTCTTCCTCTCTCTCTCTCTCCTCTTCTCTCTCGCCGGGGTGGAACTCACTGTGGGTTCAAGCCCTTGGCCCACGCCCTCGGGAGATGAGACACCTGGGTCTCATTAAGATGATCAGCATTTAAGCCAGGAGGTGACTGCTGTTCGTTGCTGGATTGTTGTCTACCACGCGTTAGTGAAGCCAAGCTACAGCAAGTCAAGTCAAGTGTGTTTCTTTTGTGCGTTGTATTTAACCCCATCTCCCTGTCTGCAGAGCTCCCTGGATTCTACCCCGTGTGATTCCCGAGTGGCGAGTGTTGGACTTCCCTGGAGTCCCTTTTCCCTCACTCAGCTGTACATAGCACTCCCCCCGCACCTTCTTGTATATACACCTGGTGAATTGTAAATAAATCTTTCTTGTGTGCATCTGAACCCGGAGTCCTGCGCTTGAGTCCTCCTCTAAACCATAACAAAATTAATGAATTGATATTCCAATATTCAAACTAAAATCGATTTGAATTGGAAAATCGATATTTTAAACCCACCCCTAACAATAACCCTACAAAATCAGTTGTAACAAGCCCAAATTTGCTGAATATTGTAGCTATTGAGTAACTCAAAGGCAGAGCTTAGCAGAGGCAAAGGATACCTATTTTTTACAGTGATTTCATTTAAGCCACAGTAGTCAATACATGGTCTAAGAGTCTTGTCCTTCTTTTCAACAAAGAAAAAAACGGCCCAAGAGGAGAGGAGGACGGCTGAATGATTCCTGCAGCAAGTGAATCGGTGATAAATTTTTCCATTGCTTCCCTTTTGGGTTGTGACAGACTGTACAGGCAGCTAGTGGAAAGTGGCGCACCAGGGAGGAGGTCTGTAGCATAGTCATAGGTCTTTGTGGAGTTAATGACAATGCCTCATGCTTCCCGAACACCTCTGCTAGGTCGTGATAAATGGCAGGTACTGAGGAGAGGTTGGATGGATCTGAAAGCAAAAAAGGTTTTGGAGGACTGATGGATGGAGTTGCTGACAGTTCATGTGACACTCCTCTCCCACCTGGAAATGCAACCCTTTCTCCAATCCATATGGGGATTGTGTTGCTGGAGCCAGGGGTAACCCAAAGTGTGGAGAGGGGGGTGCTTTAAATGCAAAAAAGGTCTTTATTTGGTATGGGGTTGTTTTTCTTCTTTTTTTTCTCTTTATTTGGTATGGTTAATAGACAGGGTCACCAAAACTGGCTTGGTAACATGAGTGATGTCGGGAAGGCACTGTCCGCTCAGCGCAAAGACACAGAGCATTTGTTGTGTTTAATCTGCGAGCCAGGGAGGCGTCGATAAAGCTTTGCTCTGTCCCAGAATCAATTAGAATGCAGAGTGAGAGAGTGACGGCTTGAATTGTAATTTAGCAGGGATCGTGAGTGGTGGAGGAAAATTTTTACTTAACAGCTTGCCCACCTGTACTTCCTCCTCTACCGGCAGGTGCGATCTTTTGTCAGCGATGGATATGAAATTATCTTTTTGACCACAGTACAAACACTCACCGGCCGCTAGACGACAATATTGCTCCACAGGGGTCAAACGAGAGCACCCAAGCTGCATGGGTTGCTCACCTCCACTGTTTTTCTCGTACTCCCGGAGGAACTAGATTCTTTTAACAAGCAGTGGAAATGAGCTCCCTTCAAAAGGTGGCTGGGAACTGCCTTAGAAAAAGGATAAGGAACTAGGATAGGAAAAAGGATAAGGAACAGTGGAGCCACTAGTTTTCCAAATCAAAAGGAACATGTTGAGTTGGTTTGTGCATCTAAGGATGGATGAATGAAAATGGATGAATGGAACCACATTTATAACATTCAGTGCATAGCAGTGTTGGGTAAGTTACTTTAAATTAGTAACTTAGTTACATTACTAGTTACTTCCATCAAAAGTAACTCAGTTACTTCAAGTTACTCATTACTTTCAAA